GGGGGGGGGGTAATACAACTGAAACCCTTTTATAGAAAATTTTGCATTTTCAGGCAGTGTTTTGAAGTTAGGCTTTTCTTATGAGGAGTATCAGGCGTGAGTGAAGCTGTTTTGGAAGCTGGCAAAACTTGAAGATGCTGAAACTGCCGAGCCGTTTGATGGAAGTTTTTGGGTCTAGCAGTCGAAGATTGGCCTCAACCGCGCCATTGTTTGATGGTCGCAAACTTGCAGTTATCACATTGGATGCCATGAACACAATAATACGGTAAATTAGTTTTAAATTTTGATTTTGTAAGTACTAAAATTTGTCCAGAATCACCAGTTCCGTGCGCAGAAACTACTGGAACAAATTTGGTAGATCCAGGTAAAAAAATAGAGGAATAGAAGGATTTCACTTGTTATAACAAAAGTAGGAGTCGTCTTATCTGGCCCTCAGTAAAAGTTAGCTTAGTGAATTTGAACTGTAGAAGCTTAAAAGTTATTAACCGCACCTGGAATATCAAAAGAAGGCCCCCTCCCCCCTTTCTCAACGGCACAGGCATCAGTGCTACAAAGGTCTGGGTCTCAAGCTAAAACTGGAGAAAACTCTTTTCTGCATCCTCCGTCGATCTTCGCCGATTTTAAACGATTTTTGCCGATTTTTATGGTTTTATCGATTTTTGCCGATTTTAATGGATTTTTATTGATTTTTTTTCGATTAATTTTTTCTGTTGCCTGATTAACTTACAAGGGTGTGCTGCAGACTGAAACAACGTCCAGGGAATACATATGCGGAATTTGCAAAACGTATCAATATCGATTGCTGCGCGGATGCACTCAACAATGTTTTTCGGGGAAACTTCAAAAAACTCTCAAAAAAGAAATTATGCTACGGTTACAAGAAGGATGGTGCAGCTGCATGGTGGACGGAGCTCATCAAGAATTGCTTTGCTGATGTAAATTTTTTTTTTTTTACTAAATTTTCTTGCCTCGAAAAATTGGAGGTCTAAAATTATTATCAGAATCGTTAGATGTTTTTCGCGGTATGGTGGATTTCCCCCAGCAAATTACTGGTAATTAAATATTAAAATTCAGCCTTTACCAGTTTTGCATATTTCCCTTTTGTTTTCAGGCCGGAATTAAAGATGAAAAAATAGACGAATTGGGCAGAAAATTATTCGATTATTTCGCCACAATTGAACCATGGGATCTGGTTGATAAACAAGTGATTTTTTGAGTTCTTTTAAAATTTTTCAACAATTAGAATATGTTATACGACTGTTGAGACTCCTGGGGCAGAGGAGGGTGCGGAAGAGAGCTTTCTTCAGTTTTAGCTTTAGAACTCAGATTCTTGTAGCACTGTTACCTGTGTCGAAAAGCCCATCGCTCCCCCAGGGGATGCCCTATAGCTTTGACTCTGAGAATTTACCAAGATTTGCGAATTACCGAGAATTTACCAAGATTTGCGAAAACTCGAGAATTTTTGAGATCTGCGAAAATTTAGAATTATCAAGAATTGCGTGGCAATCGATGTGTAGGGATCCGTCATAGCGGTTTTACTGGAATGTTTTCACGCGCTGAACATAGCTGTACAAAGTCGAGTCAAGTTAAATGCACGTAAAATGAGTTGCATCATTTTAGGTTCACAGTCATCTGGCGCAACTGCAACAGCGAGGAATTCGATTAGCTGTAATATCGAATTTTGATGGGCGTTTGCGAAAAATTTTGGATGGCCACAAACTATCGGCGTTTTTCGAAGCGATGTTTCTGAGCGGTGAAATTGGCACCGAAAAACCGAACAGGCAAGTGTTCGAAAAAGCTGCGAAATATTTCGAAATCACGAATATGGACGAAATGCTACATGTGGGCGACGATGAGGACAAGGATTTCAATGGTGCGCGAAATGCTGGTGCACGAGCGCTTATTTTTAGCCCGGAGAAAGCAGCATGCGACAGCACTGGACATGTAATTTCATCTTTAAACGATATAATTTTGAGGTTAAGCTAAACCGATTTTTGAAAGAAGTATAAAATACTCATAGGGCGGATGAAAGTAGTGCGACTTTTTCTTAGATTTGTTTTTTTTTAATATTGCTAAGAAGTTTCTGGAATAATTCGTTTTGTCGTAATTTATTTGGAACATTTTATGATTTTTTCGTTGTCTGGGTATCCCATGTTAGTGATGTTACTGTGGTGTTTATGGCACATCGGGCACAGCTATGAAACAAGGCCCTTGGTTCGTGGGTTGAAAAAAACACTTTTTTAATTAGCGACTAGAAAAATTAGATGATTAGCAAAAAAATCTACGAAAAAATCATTTTTTTAGGAAGGTTTTGGATCAATTTTCATTTTTTTTTAGAGCGAAATCTATGTTTTTTGGAGACAGATTTTGAATTGACAGTGCAAATTCCTTGGAGAAAGCTGATTTTTGTGGCCTTGAAATTATATTGTATGGACACACATGGATGTTAACATGCATGAACTCATGATAATGTATTTTTGCACAAGTCGTCTAAAAATGTAAAAAAAAAAAAGTTAAAAAGTTCGTCGGAATCGTGTAAAAAATGCGAAAAAAAAACTTGTAAATTCATCGGAATCGTGTAAAAATGCATGAAAATCGCCGGAAATTCTGTGAAGTTTGTTCACAAACTATAACTTATCAACAGTATCATCAATAATAAAATGTTTTTCGTATAAGGATTTTGAGTTTGTGAATGGTTGCCAGCATCACAGAACGTTCTCAGAAATGAGCTTTTATTCCAGTACATTGCATGTTGATGGTACTGACTGTATGCTTCCGAATAATCGTTGCAGTGTTTTGGTGGCTGAAATTTTTCGAAAATTTTGATTTTTCATGGGAAAACAGCATGTCTCAGATAACAAAGATCAGTACAGGACACACATAGACAGTCGCTCGTCAATATACGTTTTCTGCATTGCACAGATGCATGTTTTCCGGTAAAGCCCGGAGATAATCTTGTTGTCTTTGTAAATTGAACGGGTCCTTTTTGAATTTGACGTTGTTATTGTTCTTGTTTCCGACATTTAATCGTTATTGATTTAGCTGTATAATGAACAAATTAGACTGAAGTTCATCAGTTGTGCATCACATTATTATTATTGCAAATTTACTTTGCGCGTTAATAATAACAACAATAATAACAACAATAGTAATAACAACAATAATAATGATGATAACAATAAACACTATTTTTATAATTAAGAAGTAAATATTTTTTATATGTATAAAGTAAGTATTTTTATAATGATTATAATAAATGTATTATTTATAAGAATGTCGCATTGCCTTACATACACATTTCAATCATAGTTAAGAGCCAGCTCGATTATATGGTCTACATGATTAGGGCTTGAATTTTGAGTATTTTTTCAAATTTATATCATTCAGAAATATTTTCATTTTTACTTGCAAGAAAATTCTCTCTTAAAGAGATAAATAAGAGGTGAGGTTATTGTTACATGTAGAAAACATCGAAATATTTGCCATCACTAACTTATATTTACATGTTTGTCTGCAGTAGGTTAAAGTAAAATTTTTATTTGATATGTTGTAAAAGAATTTTATTCAACAAATTCTTAAAAGTTTCAAACTCACCGTTAGTGCAGCGCATTCATCGTCACAAACATAACACACCTGAATGTAGCACTTCAGACGTAGATACGTGAAGCCCACGTGACGTATCGTCAACCAACCCAACGAAGATGCTTTCTTCATATTTGTTTCGTAACGTGGTGAGCCGATCATCGATGCTTCTGGTGAACAACTACAAGAAATGAAGCATAAAACCTTTTGTTTTGGCTGTCAGTTCGTGACTATACTAAACAATCAGACTCTCCGTCGAATGAGTAACGTAAAATCACTGCGACCACACAAGAAAGTGAAAACTAAAAAGCAGCAAGTTCAAAAAGCGTTACCCATCGGAGCTGATCAGATGTGTTGTTGGGTTATGCTTACTGCCAACCCAACAATTCTCCACTCGCATTACATGTTCATCTGCAAAAAATAAACACTTCAAAGCCCTGATCTAGCCGGCAGGCGGCAAATGAAGGCGCTTCGAAAAGCCAATAATAAAATCTTTCTGAAAAGAAATTTTCTAGTGCTTTTACTTATTTCATCTCAGGATTGAAAGCCCTGGCATAGCTACACTCGGCGTGTCAGAGAAACCCAGTAAAATCACTAACATGAGATACCCACATCGATTGTCCGGGCGGTCTTGGTATTCTTGGTGTAATGTATTAGAAAAACACCTAAAATTTTTTTAATGGAAATGCTGATTTTATTGAAATATTTTGGAATCAACTGTTTTAGAAACCGCGTAAACTGCCCTTAATAATAAAACCTTTTGAATTGAAATCTACAAAAAAGGCATTGTTGTATTATTAACTCTGAGAAATCAAGATGTTAAACCTAGAACAAGATTTAGGCTTC